CGTTGAAGTATCAGTGCTCTGCAATTGGTTGAGATGGAATCTGAAAAAAGAGATCAACTGTGATATGAATGTAATATCTGGCCGTGTTCTGCCACCTTAGGGGTTCCATAAATTGAGGTTTCAGGGGTGGGACTTGTTCGGATTCTCAGCTGCCCGTCTCCCACATCCGCAGCCACATTTGACTGCAGGGGAGCGGGCGGCTGTGGAAGCAACCTCTGAGGCTGGCAGTTTATCAAACTATTGGCTGACCTGGATCTGTTCGGACTTTCGGGACCCCTCCGGCGCTTTTGTTGCAACCCAAGTCAGAAAAAACATGAAAAAACAACATGTTGGCTGGACGGGGGGGGTTAGCCCCGTTTTTACTGGGTTGCTTTTGGGGTTGGGGGGGGTGGGGTGGGATGTCAACGTTCATGTTACGCTGATGATGTTACGCTGATCATCTGGGGTTGGGGTGGGGTGGGGTGGGATGTTAACGTTCATGTTACGCTGATGATGTTACGCTGATCATCTGGGGTTGGGGTGGGGGGGGGTGGGATGTTAACGTTCATGTTACGCTGATGATGTTACGCTGATCATCTGGGGTTGGGGTGGGGTGGGATGTTAACGTTCATGTTACGCTGATGATGTTACGCTGATCATCTGGGGTTGGGGAGGGGTGGGGTGGGATGTTAACGTTCATGTTACGCTGATGATGTTACGCTGATCATCTGGGGTTGGGGTGGGGTGGGGTGGGATGTTAACGTTCATGTTACGCTGATGATGTTACGCTGATCATCTGGGGTTGGGGAGGGGTGGGGTGGGATGTTAACGTTCATGTTACGCTGATGATGTTACGCTGATCATCTGGGGTTGGGGGGGGTGGCTACGCTCAGAAGGTCTTGGGGGCAGTGTGTGTGCACTTGCTTTCGATGTTGATGGTACGCGAAGAACGTATTTGGGGTTGGGGGGGTTGGGTCTGTGTTAACTGTATGATATATTTACTGTATTATATAATTATATATTTACTGAATAATATATACTTGTCAGGATGATTTGTTTATGTAAATTTCACCGGTCATGTCTGCCTGCTACCTGCGCTGCAGGTACGCATCTCAGATGTTGGGGCTGGGCTGCATTGGTGTGTCAGGGCTGGTTGGAGTTCTTGGTTGCGTGAGAGTTCGTCAAGTTTGCTTAGACATATAAGTTTCCAAAAGTAGTTCGTAGTTACATGGTTCAAACGCAAGAAAGGGTTTAACGCGAATATCATGGGAATGTCATGCTTGTCTAGCACAGCTTTGCTTGTGTAGCTCGCTGCTGGGCTCTGTTTCCATGGATCCGCTTCTGTATGGTGTTACATTGTTAATTCTCCTCCGCGCAGCTCATGAAAAGTTTCCACCTGTCTGTGTTCTTTGGTCCTTTTTGAGCACGGAAGAACTGTGGGATGTTCACTACATCTTAGCGTTGAAATGGCATGGGGATGCTGGAGCTGAGACCACCTTTGCTGCAGTGGAACGAGTGTATCATTGGACGAGCCTTCGCCAGGGTTTGTCGGTTCTCAAGGAAATTTGGTTTCGTTATGTGAAAGAACATAGGCCTCTGCCAGTGAAAGTTCTTCAACAAGGTGAATGGTTGCAGAAGCGGCTACGTGGAACACTGCCGCAGAGCTTTCCTGACTCAGAGTTGGCTGAACCTTGGGACTTTCAATGTGAAATGATGTTGCAAAATTTGCTGGAATCTGGGCAGCCCATTGAGCCGCTTTCGACTGCAGGACGCAGAACTCTTGAACATCCACCCTCCGTGATTCCTGTTTCTGAGTTCGGTTTTAGTTTTTTTCTTGACATCTTACTTTTCTTCCTTAGATGACCTCGTTATCATTTCTTGTCGGATGCCGAAATAGACGAAATAGACTTTGTACTGTCATGTTCGTGACGTTCAAACTGTTGTATCCTAGGTCTGTGAGAGCCCGGAGATTCGAAGAATGTTGGCTCCTACGTTGACTTTGGAATCGGAATCCGAAAGTCAAGATGCTGAAGGAGATGCATCGTCAGCTAAATCGGAAAGTTTGTCGCCACCGCGCTTCCAAGGTGGAAAGATTATCGATAGTCCTATAGCTTTGCGACAAAAACTCGATTATCTTTTGAAGCACTCTGTGAATGCCCCGCTTCTTGGTTTGTTTTTCGAATTGTTTTCCAAGGATTTGTACTGTCAATTCTTTCCCTGATGCATTCATTTGCATTTGAGAATGATGAATCTCAGGTTGCCCTCAGCTTCTGCTGCCGAGCTCACTCACTCATCTTCGGCTGCGTCTTCGTCTGGCGGCCCTATGTCGATGCTGCAGCGGGCTGCGCTCTTTGAGGACCGTGTCAAACCGGTCGCAGATGAAGATGGAGCGACCTCCCTGCCTGACACAAAATGGGGTAGATGCATGCGGGCAGACTGTGGATATGCTTTGTCGCCGCACCTTTATGCTTCTGGTCAATTTGCAGGACAGATTCGCTTGCTTTGCAATAGGTTCAAGAAAGTGCAAGATGGTAAAAGAATGTGTTTTTTTCCCGCTCCTGTTCCGAAAGACAAATGGTCGGAGCTGCCCAAGTTCATGAGAAACAAGTATGCAGAACTCCCTGCCAGTTTGCGCCGAAACACTGGTTTGTTTGCTGAGAGATCTTTGCACCTGATGAAGAATGAAGCATGAAGTTTCCGCAGAATGAAATGGCCTGTCAATCGCGAATATCATGGGAATCAATTCAAACCACTTGGCCATGACTCTGATACCTTGACTGCAGACACACCTTGCACGTTTCTCCCAGTCGCCAGAATTTGGTTGGTGAAGTTGTGGGTGCCATGTGTTTCACTAGGTGTGAGGTTTTTTTGAGCAAGCCAGTGGCCATTTTCCACTCATGTCACGTCTTTTTTGCAAAGCCTTTTTAGGTCCGAGTTTCACACAGGGAACGTCCAATGAAAAAATCCCTCGGACATGATAGATATCCCTCTGGGCGCAAACGACCTCCGAGTCGCACCATCGCTACGAGTTCTGGTGTCAACAGAGAATTTCACAAGAAGGGTCTCAGCTATTCTCCCGGAATCCGTGGGAAATTCAAAAAGTACCGTGCTTTGCGAGGTCTCAAGCAGATTGACTTTGCATCCTTAGCCTTGTGGTCTGAAATGCGGTGCAAAAAACACCTGGAAGCCAAAGGTTTCTTCGGGGTGCAGTGGGGACGTCAGTGCTGGAGATGTCAAGCATCCTTGAACCAGCTTCAACAAGATCCTGCCTTACTGCGTTGTTCGAACCGTTCTTGTCCAGCACTGCGACCTCGCATCTTGGTATGGTTTCATTTTTTTGGATCCATCGCAAATGATATACGCATGTTCACCTAGTCTTCGACTTGTGCGTTTTTCAGTTGTGGCCGTTCTTGCCTGTAGGTATCAATTGGAAATTTGGCTACACACCCTTCATCAACCGACTGAGAGGTGGACATGAACCAGACATGCAAGGCTTCGTACGTACGGTTTATTGTGTCAGTGCTAAGATTCCTCAAGATGCAGCTGCGCACATTGTTGGGCGATCCCATGACTATGTCGATTCCATTTACAAGCAAGCTCGCATGGTGACAGGTTGGGCTGAGTTTCAGAAAAACAAATCCATGACCTTTGACGCCGGAATCCTGGAGGTAGATTCGTGTCGTACGGCAACCAGAAAAAACAAGGTGGGGTCAAAGAAACGAAAAATGACAAAGAAGCCAGCCGGGAACACGGTTGCCAAGAAACCAACTTCCAAAGTGGCAGTGCATGGTGGTCGGTTTCTAGTGGCTGTCAGCAGAAAAAACAAACAAAGGGCTTTCTATCCTTTGCCTGACCGCTTCACGGCTACATCTGCTCCTGGCCCGCCAGAGACTTTAGACGAAGTTGTGCCGCTCTTGCAACACAAAGTGAACCCCAGCAAACACATCCTGGGCTCCGATGCCTCCAAAGGATTGAAGGGAGCTAGAAAAAAATTGAACTTGGAAGCAGTCACTGCTAGACATAGCTTGTCAGAATACACACCTGTACAGTCCCTCAAAAAGAGGAAGGTTTCCACAACAGCCTTGAAAGCCATTGGCTGCAAAGCAGCTCAAACTGGCCGGCATAAAGTAACCATGGTCGGAGGAGACCAGGTCGCAGAATCTCACACAGCTCTGCTGAAACAGCAGCTGAGACGAAACAATAAGCTTGGAGGCCTCTCATTGAAAACTGCACACGTGGATGGTTTGTCAGCACTTTACATTCACAAGAACTTAGGCCTGGAAGCGACTATGATGGCGTTCGCTCAATTCATTGCCCACATGACTGACAAAGTCAGTCATGTGAAATGTTTTGAAGATGTCTCGTGGATGGAAGACAAGTGAAAAAAAAAGCTCAACATGCAAATGTGTCGCCGCAACAAACCCCTGTAAAAGTCAATGACACAACATAACCATGTTTGAAAATTGTCATTTCGCCACGGCGAAACACTCCTTTTTGATCATGTGACTTTGCCTTTGACACATCAATGAAAAAAAGAGCTCACAATGCAAATGTATCGCGGCAACAAACCCCTGTAAGGGTTGCTCCCAACATCCATTTTTTTGAAAAAATGAAAGTTATGTTGACACTGCTAAGCAGAACTCAAGTCAATGACACATCATAAGCATGTTTGAAAACTGCCATTTCGCCACAGCGAAACACTAATTTTTGATGATATGCACATTGCCTTTGACAGACAGACGAACCAAAACAATTGGAAGCGGGGCTAACCCCCCCCGTCAACCCAACATGTTGTTACGGAATCCGAGGGGTTGGGATGGCTCTGAAATTCTTGAACCCCCAACAAAAAAAACCAACGATGGCGTCAACTTTCGATTGATCTGGGGAGGTCCTGAAAATTGAAGCATTCCCAGGTCCAGCAGGCCACTCAGCGAAGCCCATTGCCTGGGTCTTAGCAGTTTCCAACAGCCATTGGACCAGCAATGGACAAAGGCTGCATCGGCACTTTTTCTGAGCCACAGGCTATGAAGAACTTTGAGGCTCCTGACATGACCTTGACTTCACATGTTGGAGTTGGATTTTTACGCCAAGCGATACCAAGCAGGCAATTGTTGACATAGCAAGGGTAGTTTGACAGCCGTCGTTGGAAAATTCATCAATGATCTTTTGTATAAAGAAAATGCTATGGCCTTGAATATTCCAGTGACCAAACATGGCAATGCAAAATCGCCGGCAGATGCGTTCCCTCCTGGTGACCATTGAGGGCTCGCACGGCTCGTCCATCTCCTGCATCACGGCATCGGAGGGCGGCTTCGCCGAGGTCGGGGAAGTCGAAGCCGGCGGATCACCTCGGGTCAACGCCCCGGGTCAGGGGAACCCCCAAACAATGTTGGGGGGTTGTTGGGGGAGAATCTTGACCACCAACAACAACATGTATGTGGAGTATATGTAAAAGGGGATCAGTCCCATCTATTATTTGGGCATCACCTTTCTGGGGGTTCAATACCCATGAGACAAGTTCTCTCCTTTTGGGGAAGTGTTCTTTCCATGCTTTTCTACGTTTTGTTCCTGAGGTGCAAAAAAATTAAACCTTCCAGTCCACACACCTTGTACTGCGTTAAACCCAAGAAAACAACCTGCTTTGGGATGGTTCAAAACCACAAAAAGTTCTGGAAAAACTGGGGATTGTTCATGGTTATGTGTCAAAAACTGATTCAGATGGGCAAACATGGGCAAACAAGCTGAATTCACGGATGTAGGATGGCTTGGCCAAAAAAATCCGTGGAGTTTCTGAGCTCAAAACTCATTTCTCCATTTTCCCTGCAAAATTGCCATGAAATCATAAAATCCCGGGCAACGGACCAGATGCTAGATGAGAAGCGCCGTGAACTACAGGACCGGACGCATGATCAAAACAAGACGGGGGATCTTGCAAACTCCGTCCAACATGGCAACACAGAGAGAGAGAGAGAAAGAGTGCAATAGCCCGACAATATCAGATCACAAAATTCAAGAATTGTAGGGTCTTTAGAAATCAGTATGCAGTGTAGTGTTTTGAATCCGTTTTCCCCTCCCGTATGAGTGCACCTTGCACTCGCCACTGCGTGAGTGGAAAAGGCGATGCTGGCGAAGAAGAGGCTTGACACTTCAGACAGTGCGTGAACACGCCATCATCTAACCCCAGCTGGGTGCCCACACCTGCCGACTCCTCCACCGCTTCAGCTGCTGGCTCCAGCGGCTCAACCGCTGGAACCTCAACTGCCTCCTCCGGCAATTTCGCGCGGGGCGGCGAGCCGTCCGGCAGATCGTCCGGCCTGAAACAGCCCCAAGGGGGGTCTGAGAACTAAGTCAAAGTATGTGGAAAGACATATTTCGGAAGATGTTGGCTGAGGTTCCAAAATGGACTCGGAAATCTGCTCGTAATACATCACGAGTCATTTGTTCTGCTCAAGTTTCTTTGGCAGTTCCAGCAGAAAACACTGCCAGCAGTCAACACGAGTTCTGGCAGCCTGGAGTCAGTGACGGTTGCATCGGCATCAGCAGCTGCTGTGGCTGCCTGATAGAGGGCTGATCATTCCAACGATATCTGTAGTATGTCTATCTCTGCATATATATATATATATGTGTGTGTACATATGCTTATCTATGTGTATTATAATTGTATATAATCGTATATAATCGTATATAATTGTATATAATTGTATATAATTGTATATAATTGTATACAATTGTATATAATTGTATATAATTGTATATAATTGTGTATGTATATATATATATACACGTGATTCTATGTGTACAGTGCACATCTATCTGTACATCAATCCCTGACCATCCACCTCCTCAGTGAGCTCCACATCCGGTACATTCTCTGCATCTCCTCAAGATGGATTTCCCAGCGGGTGAACTGCTGAAACCCTGCGAATATTATGGGGAATACATATGTAGTGGAATATCTACTTACTAATGGCACACTCTTTTTGGACTCGTGAATATTGGGGACTTTAGGAGATATCATGAACATATGGGGTACATATCAAATATCCCCCAATTTCTAACTCTGAATTGGTGGATTGGTCAGATCATTCACCCAAAAAATCAGTTCTAAGTTGGTGAATGCTGGGGACCTTTTTTCTGGGGCAAACAAAAATACATCCATGCAACCAGCAAAATGGGGTGGTTCAGTTTATCGATAAAGTCGTTAGATCTAACCAACAAAGGTTGGAGAACCTCGGCTGGAAGACGATAAATTCACTTGTCTGCTGTCAGTCCCGAACGAAACCCAAAGGCTTCTATGATGTCTGAGCTCCAAAAATGTGTTCGACTATTTTCATATTCCACCTGCAATCTAAGTTGTTGACCCTGATGTGTGGCTGCTGACATTTGGAACTGGCATATTCAGGCGCAGTTTGCTACGTTGCAATCTAACTCAAACTCGAGTTGCAAGTAATCTCCATTTGATGGTAATCACCACACAATTCTCCACATAAAGTTGGCTATCTCAGTCCCGTCCGGATATCTTCCAATCCTACTTCCTAGCATCTGGGTACGGGTAAAACTGGGATACGAAAATGGACACACTCCTGCAGATGTGTCGGGCTGCTGCGAGTCGGGTGAAGCATCACCTGCAGAAGAATTCATGTTCCAGAGTCCAAAATGGATGGCAAAAAAAAACTACAACCCACCAAAAAAGGGGCGCCCTAAATCCACTGCTTCATCATCATGTTCCCCATGTCTTTGACGGCAATTTTGCAGGATGGAGGAAGCGCTAAAATGAAAAAGGGAAATGTAGGCCGGGTAGGCCCCGCTTTCAGGCACCATATACCCCATAGTGGTTATATATTCCATTCTATCCCAATTATATCATATCCCATCAAATTGATAGATGTCCCATGATTTTCCCATTACGTCTCGAATCCATTGGATTTCTCGCAGCCCAAAACTAATGCACCTTGCAAGTGCTTTGTTCCGTACAAGCTCTTGTACAGCCTGAGGCAATGAGGATGGCTGCGCGGCTGAGAAAAAGTTCGATTTTCGAAAGGGGCTCCGGATCCTCTATGAATGGCTCCAGGTGAAACCTGGGTGTCTCAAATTTGGTTTGGTAAGAGGAGTGATCAAATTGCATATATTACAACTTTGGGGAGAGCCATCTTTGAGCCTGCTCAAGCTTCTCTGAGCCCGGGAAAATACACTTGTTGCACATTACTATAGGAGTTAAAGCTCCCCTTTTCGCCTCCGCAAACCCATCAACACATCTATGGGGATTTTTTAAGCCACGCAACCAGGTGAGTTGCCAACAAAATGTGGCATATTCGGCAATGAGATTGGTATATCTATACATACAAAACATTACAAAACCTTCCATCAACAAGAAAAAGCAACGGATTGCAACCAGATATTTCACTGACAACGGAAAAGGCTGTAATCATTTGTGCTGCCCAAAGGCTCTTCATCACCACCGCACTCTTCCACAAACTCCCGCGATGTGCGCATGTAGAAGTCATCACCTGCAGCAAGTCATCAGGTGTATTAGCGAAACGAAAGCATCTGCACAGGCATTTCAATGCAAATAGTGTGGACTTCCACTGTTAGCTGTTTTAGTAATGATTAGCAATTGAAGCATTGCTCCTTGTCGGTTCTCTGTGCTTGTAGCAACCCTACTTCTTGGCCGCATTCCCATTTACAGATGCTTGCATCGCCTGTTGGTTGTAGGTCATGGTGTTACCTTCTTTTCTTCTTCAGTCTATCCAATATGTACACTCTATAAATATAATATATATATATATGATTTTATATGTGACATGTGTGTGTGTGCGTATTCATCTCTTGATAGATTCATAGATTCAAAAACACGTACCCTCCCTCCAACTAACATGAACCCCAACAAATAGGATGTCGGAAGACTACTTTCCACCAAAATTATCATTATATAAATTCTCATTAAATTCCCTTTTATTGATGCTTAGAACCCAAATTTATCCCAATCTCAGTGGTTAGACCCCCAATCTTCATGGTGTACCCCAAGTTTGGATGATTTTTCATAGTTATATAAACATGGTTAAACCCGTTAAACCCCAAGTGATTCCCATTGAACCCCCGTTCTGTGCGAAAAAGTGGTCCAAAATCATCCGCGCCTTCCTTAGGGCGAAGCTCGTCAGGCAGGAGATGCGTCTCAGGTGAAATCTCCTGCCACTTTGGCTGATCAAAGAAAAATATGGATTTACCTCAGAAAGATTTATGGACTAACCTCAGAATGTAGATGTACCCTACGAAAAATGGAGATTTACCTCGGAAAAATTGGGAATTGCCCTAGAAGAAGTGAGATTGACCCTGGAAAATTTGATTTACCCTGAAAAATGGTGATTTCCCCGAGCAAAACGGTGGTTTACCCGATAAACTTGACGGGATTTATCCAGTCTTCTTAGGTTTAATGGCTTCAACATGTAACTAACTTTTCAGCATCCAAAATCTTGGGATACAGTACAGTAGTTGATGAATTGAGCAGGTCCTTCTATGCAAAGAAAGAAAACAGCAATGGTAGATGTAGCATCTTTGCTATTTTTGAAAGGTCACGTCTGGGTGATGAGACAAGTGAAAATTCATCCAAAGCCAACATGGGTGGGTGTGCATTGGGATGTGAACTACTTAGGATACTTAGCTCTGGTTCAAAATGGGGTACTCTGTATACCCCAAAAATTATACTCCAAGTATACTATCCACTCAGATAATTCTGTATAATCCAATGTATACTTTTGGAAAGCTCTTGGGGATCATTGGATTTTTCATCGATACGCTTGGTGCAGGGAATTCCAATGATCAAATTGCCGACCAACCGTTTGGAGCTACATTTATGTAAGGCTGGTGGGCAACCATTGGTTGATTTGAAAAGGATTACCCCCAGCAATGAATTTGGGGTTGGAAAACTACTTTCCTCATGTGCCATTCTGAGTCAAGCTGTTTGTTGTTGCCCCCCCTATCTCTCTCTATCGTCCAACCGTCCAATTTACCATGAGAGGGTGAATCGTGTTCGATTGCTAACCCTTGCAAATAGAATGCAGTAGATTGGTATTCCCCTTAGCAACTGGTCACTAGCCCTGGCTCGAACGCCCCAGAGATGTGGATAAATTGTCCCAATGATCACTTTTCACCCCAGTTCTTTACTATCCACTTGCAATCCTTTTTGGATGATCGCCCAAGTATCATCAACCTTCCAATTGATCATATGGCAGTGTGTCAAAACCTTGTACCCCTTCTGTTCACATCAAAATAGCTGGGATTTATGGATGTTCATCCCACTAAAAATGGTATTTTCATAGGTATTGATCCATAGCCATATGATTCACCAACCATGCCTGCCAAGGCATCTCCAAGTCATTCCGCACCACTGGTGGACCACCACCATGAACGTGCATGAAGAGCCACCTGTGCCGTCAATGTGGTCAAGGTTATCGTCCCATTGGGATAAACGTACAAAAAACGGATGGGAAAATCACCATGCTATCAATGGGTAAATCCATGTAAATCCACGATTTCGACTGGGCCATTTGCAATAGCAAACTGTTAAATTACCAGAGGGTACAGTTTGGTCTACGGGACTGTAACCATCAACCCCAGCCGCCAAATGAACAGATCCACTGGGTTTCTGGGGCGAATGGGGGCAGCAGATGTCAAAAAACCCATCCCTTTTGGCTCGGAAAACTAGGGCCAGAACCAGACACACGCATTCACTCCGATGTAGTCCGCCTTCAACCTGCGGATCTTCAGTTGAGCTAGACAGCTAGACCTTACAACTGGAGGTGCCAAGGGGCAATTCACATCATTGAAACTGCCAAGAAAATTGGTGACTCATTCCCAAATCTCAATCCTTTGGGAATGAAATTGTCACGCCACATCCAAGAGCAATTCTTCGATATATGTACAGAAGACATATATATATATACACATACAGTATATATCTACGTATAAACCTCTGTCGAAGTGGCTTTAAATCACTGACAATCGAAAGAAAGCAACCTAAGGCCATACTCACAGCACCATGGCAGAGATCTCTGTGTTTTCATCCCAAAAAAATGGTGGTGAAACTCACCTGAAACCATCTGAAACCATCTGGTCTTGTGGCCTCAGGTTGTCCCTCGTCTGCTTGGGATCTTCCTTCTTGAACAGCTTCTCGTTTTGGATGGGCCCCGGGCTGCACATGTCCTGCCAGAGTTGATGAAAAACAATCATCCACATTGGATGCGAGAATTGAGGTGGGTATTTATGTGTATGTAAGATATATGTATATATATATACATATAATTACATATACATATTACAGGTATATATATATATAGAGAGAGAGAGATAATATATGATATGTGTGTGTGCATATATGTATATACAAGTATATTCACTTTAACACGTGTACAAGATGTTCTTTTCCTGAGTGTGAATGTACCTTTTGCTAGAATATCGTCGTTGCTTCATCGGTAAGGTTCCAGTCCCAGTAGTTGGTGACAGGCTCGCTCTTCACATAGCGCTTCCAATGATCCACCTGGAAAGTTGTGTCTGGAAAAGTGTCTGGAAATCACTCCCAACCAATGGCATGTTGTTTAAAATGGAAAATGGAGTTCTTTCATCTTGCAAGTTATACTTTTTAGACAAACCCAAATGGGCTCAATGGTCCCAATGAATGGTTTCAACCTATTGAAGCAAGCTATTTTCATGAAAAACATCCTACATATCCGCCGTAGTCTGCAAGAACTGGCAAGGGATTCCAACATCTTCAACTCTCTGTGTCCTGGTGTAGATTGTGGAAACCACCCGAAAGTGACTTTGAGACTCATTTAAAAGTTTATAAAATCACTTATGAGTTTATAAAAACCTACCATCTTCAGAATGGTTTATGAAAAACTTATGGTGAAATGGGGTACACCGCATGCCAAGGAGCCCAGTCGGCATCCACCAAGTACCAGCCGCGACCATCGCCAGTGTCCTGGCACCCACAGTTATCATCCAATTTTTTAATGGGATTGTTCCATGGAAAAAAATAAAACATCCAGCTATGTTTTTGGATCCCCCCATTGATGGAAACCACCATATATAGCCAGAAATAGAGCAACGGATCATGCAACATGTTTTAGGCAAACCTAAGTGATGGCTTCTTTTTTTCGGCCTTGGACAGAACCCATGATGCGGTTATTGCCTAAGCACAGACTCCGTTTACCACTTGGTTCATCATTCGCCACCGGCTGCTGTGGATCCTTTGTGTCATAGCGAGTCACCATCTCGTACCTGAGGCACCAACAGTGATATTCAATCGAGATTCAATCAACGACTGAAACGATCAAAACGAAACACAAAAGCAAGTTGACAAGCAGAATCAAAGAAAGCTCAATATGGGAACGGGTCAAAGTTAGGCACCCAAAATTTTGGATGCTATATATATATATATTGTATGTCTGTATATATATATACATATATATATATAAATATACATATACATAAATATACATATACATAAATATACATATACATAAATATACATTCTATATAACAGAAAATACCAACAATTTGTAGTCCACTGGGCTTCAACTGCTGACCCTTCCCCATGTTCGCCCAGTGGCTCCGCTTGCTTCCGCAAGTTGTAGGCGAGAATATGCGCTTGGCACCTGGTCTTGGTCGCCATGGAGAACCATCCATTCAGTTATAGCATGACAGCTCAATTAGATCAAAAAAAAAACATCCCCGATGTTAAGCAGACCATTTTGTTGTGGTCCCATATATGTGTAAATCGCACTCTAAACTCTAAACCAATAGTTTCTGGGGGGTTAATGTTGAGGGGAGATTATATACCCATTTGTATCAAATTATATCGACCTACTACATGTGTGATCCTGACATTTCCATTCAACTTCTCATTCAAATTCACCCATGAATCACTACCAAGAAGTTTGCTTCACCATTGACCATCGCAAAACAGCCAGCCACCAAGGCTGGCACTTGGGACAATTCTCCAGCGAGGTAATTTCGGGACCACCCCCATAGAGACCTGGGGCAGCGCTTGGATTATTGGTTTCCAGTGGAGAAAGTTGGAGAAAACACATCAAAGTCAGACCCTCCCAGGCTCGACTTGCTTGGTTTGCTGACAGATTGAAGGATGAAAAAAAAGACATATTCCGAATGCGCAGAAGAGTTTTTTCAGCTAACGTCATGTCAACATCACAAAGGCTATTGATCATCTTCCATCATCTTCCGAAAAATACATTGCAGGAACATCAGCCCTATATCATCTTTTTCAGCACCAGAGATTCGCCAAAGATCCAAACTGGGTGTCCAAGGCTGATCAATTGGCTGGACAAGTTCTTGGAGATGGGGAAAAAGGGCTCAGAGGCCAGCTCTGCCTCGGTCCATGAGACCAAGATGGGAATGGAAATGATATAAAATCCAGAAAAAGGGATAGGCAAAATGGTTGAACGGGGATTCCCCTATTGGATCATCGAAATATCGAAATATATTGGGTAGTAGAATCACCGAACTAATCATCAACCAGTTTGACTCCTGCCCCAAAATATGCCAATTGGGGATTTGTCCTATCTTTGCAACTTCGCTACTTGACTACCTATCATAGTGCAAGAATGGATCGGATGCAGCTGATAACCCATGGCAAGGGTAGGGGATGTCTCAACAACCTCCCAGGCAACAGCGAGCTAAGTGTGGCTCTGAAGAGTAGCCGAGCTTGCCATGTGGGCACAAGTACCTGACCAGCAGCCAACTCCTTGCACCAAGACATCCACCACCGCATGTGCCAGAGACCCTTCTCAGTGGCTGACTCTTTGTTGTCCAACGGACCGGGCCGGCTCATGGTCGTCAATCTCACATACCTCAGCTCAAAACTGGCAGCACCATAGGTGCTTTTTTCTAGGACACAACAAGACAACCCCCAATCTGAAGGAAGTGTGGTAGTTGAAGCGGTACTTGGGGGTGGAGTTCCAGTTCTAAATGTATGTGTATATATATATATATATGTATGTGTATATATGTACATATATATATATATATATATGGTCACCCCCTATATAACTTGTGTATATATATAACTATACACAACTGTTATAATATTGTTATTGGGATGACATCCCAACTTGTGGGGCCATATCCATTGCTCGACCCCCCAGCCATTTTGAGATCGGCAGCCCCACCAGTGCTTGGACACGAAGGCCATATCCAGTTCCGGTGCTGGGGAGATGAAGAGATTGCGCCTCAGCTCCCAGTAGATTCAACCAGCAGAGATGGGGCTGATACGAATATGTCTAATACCCTCTGGTAAACATACAAAAAACTATGGAAAGATCCACCATTTTCAATGGAAAAATATGGAAAAATCCACTATTTCTATGGTCATGTTCAATAGCTATGTTAAATTACCAGAGGGTATACCTAGCAAGACCTAGGAATATAGGCTAATATAGGCGTCTTGATTGCAGATGATGTTGCTTTGAAAATGGGAATTGGAACTTTGGAACTGGCGAATCTGATTTTTATGGAGATCAAGGTCGTCCCCTTCTCACCAACAAAATGAGCATGGTCCACTAGATGTGGACCTGGGCCGTGCCATCAGCTTTGGCATGACCAGGAAAATCCAGAAAACCCTCACCTATTCACACTTTCTCCATCTGATCTTTCCCACACCAAACAAAGAGAGAAAAAACAAAAACATCCCATCAAAAATATCAAAACAATTGGGATTTTTCCATATTTTTCCCCCATCCTTTCAGGTTGAACACATCCCCCAAGTCCCTGGGATGCTTGGGATTCCCAAGCAGTGCTGGTCCCTGATTTCGGATCTCCTCCTGTAGAGCCTTCGGCATCAAAAATCTGTCGCTGAACAGTGCTTTAGACATTGATTGCCAGTGAAAATTCTCAGACTCGATTTTGGAAATGTGTCAGAACCCCAGTCAAATGTCGATTTTCAACTCAGCGCTTGAAAGAGCGCCTGCATGTTGGTATCCTCGCTGGATCTGTCACTCATGGAGTTTTGCGGCCTGTCAGACATCAAAAATTTGCCATCTGTCAGCTCATGGCAGGCGCAAAATTGGTGTCTTTCTATTTTGGCAAATTCCAGGGATCACCATTGATACTGCCATGCGCCTTCGTTCCTGTTCCTGTCAGTGCCCTCAATTGTTCGAATCACATGAGGGTATGGCTCCAACATGTGGTTTTCACGTGTCAGGGCTGGAGGAAAGCAAAAGCCAAAGGACTTCATGCTGTCTGATGGTGAAATGATGTCAAATCCCCCATGTTTGTTGGTCAATCCCTCACCTCCCCCCTCTGGATCTCAATCCATCAGCCCTAGTGGCCACTGCCTACATCTCGACATGCTCAGGAGGTATTGGTTGATACGTTCCTGGCTGGAGCGATCTAGAACTAACTAAACCAACATGGTAACAGGAAAAAAGTAAGGCCCAAATGATGGGATTTGGGATTTCCCTGGCCAAATGAAAATTCCAAATGGGATATCATGTTATGTAATGTTTTATTCTGGTATATTATATTTATATGGATTATATTATGGCCATTTGAATTGGGATATCCCTGGGATAGTCCGAATCTGCTCATGTTCCAAACTTGACCAGTTTTTTTTGCACGATCCGATCCTGCATGCCGCGCATGTCTTTCTTGAAGGTCTGACGCTCAAACTTGGCAGCCCGGGTCGGGACCTTAGAGGTGCAGCCCGCGCATGACTGGATCCAAATCGCTTCAAGTCATTGGTACCAATGGACTCACAAAAATTCTTGATAGTTGTTAGTTATAAACTATAAACCATCCATTTTTTGGGGTGGATGATTTTAACTAAGAATCACCTGAAAAATTTGGACACCAAAAGCTTGATAGTTTCAACTTGAAAACCGACTAAATGACAAAGATTTCGGGCCTGAATGCTTGTGGACATGATAAGCGTCCGGCACGCTGGTAGAAGAGCACATAAGGTTCTGCGCGTTCCACCTTCCAAAGGGTTCCCGGATCATGCCAACAATTGGTTGATACCTATGGTTGGAAGCTGCTGTAGCAACCAAACAAAAAGGTGGAAAAAAAAACTACACAGTTCTCCCAAAGTCGGGGCTGCCCTTAATATTCAGCCAATGGGGGCTAAAGGCATGAACATCGCAGCTGGATGCTACCACCCAGAAAATTCTGGGTCGACAGCATCTTCCAATCTTCTATTCTATTATTCAATGGATTGGTTTAAGGGAAAATCTACAGGAAACCATGGTTTTTACCATGAAATATAGGGCTTTCCTGTAAATTTTCCCATCATCCAATTCTATGAATTATCTACCCAGAAAAAGTCGAGTCCTCATTGAGATGTTTTCAACTCTTGGAGAAGAGTGCAAAGACAACCCCAGAGCCATAGGGCAACAGGTCCAGCTACAGAACTGGGAGATGCGTTGCCTCCATCGTAAAGCACACCTTGTGATCTCTCTGAAAGCCATATGTGTTTGGACATTTAGCGAACCATCTCGACTTTCCTACTACAACCATCCATCATATATAGTAGATCTAGATATTATATGATATTATTCTATACATAATTTGGGGATCGCTAATCTCCTCCTTCCCATCTCAGCCCGACTCAAGCCACGGCCTGCTCCGGCATGACCGGATTGACTTGCACGTCATCAAACTCGTACCAGTCCTGTTGGAACTGCCGCGGCTCGGTGAAAACGATCGTGAAAACCCTTCCTGCTGCATATCATACGGCTGCAACTAACTCGAACTTTGTCACCACCATAGATTCCATAGATCTTGGATGATCTAGTATGATCTTGGATGATCTTGCTTTAAGTTCGTTTCTACAGCCAGAAGCAAAAGGCTCCAAAGTCTTGTAGATCTTCACCACAGCCGGCCTGAGCTCTTCTCTTGTGCTGGCAATAGGCGATGTAGTGGCCACCGCCCATGGAGCCAATGTGCTGAATGAGGCCAATTAGCCTGTGCTGAATGGTGGTCATCGGTCGGGTTTCCCATGGCCAATGGGGGCCCAATGGTTCAGTGATGGATAGATGGTGTGATCACTGATGCATGGTTGACTGAATGATAGATTGATCATGATTCCTCTATTGACAGACTAAAAAGATGAAAAGCTTCAAAGGCTGCAAGGTGAAGAGCTTGATGGATAGATTGACGGAAACCGATCGATTCCTTGGTTGATGAGTTGGTTGGTTGGAAACGGCTATGGTCATCCATGCGGAGGTCATGGGATCGTTTGATAGATTCATCGCTTTAGTCATGGATTGATAGATGAATATCGAACTATATACGTACCGTAATGAAAATGGGATATCACTGATATCACTGATGTCACTCGCAATGGTGGGTAGGACAAATGGTTTAGTCCCCCTCGCATCACTGGACTCACTCAGCTTTCAGCCTGTATTCAACTGGCCTCGGTTCACGTCTGGTCGTCGTTTGGCACAAGGAATATGAAGTTTGTGGTGTTTTTGGGGGAACATACAATGCCAATATATATATATATCATTTATGTATAGTACTGACTGTAACCCCCCAAAAAATAGAAAAGTATATAAAATCCTACTAAATGAAATAGTGATGAATCGTTTTGTTTCTATCTTTTTGGGGGTTCCTACAGGGGAAGTCACAACCACCAGTCATGATTCCATCTGAGCACGGCACTGGTTTGGAGGTTCCTCCATGAACTGCGACATATCCAGAGGTGTTGTCTCGGTGTCAGGTTGCCAATTTTTGGGCATCCTATGCCCATTTTGGAGCGGAAGAAAAAAACATGAGACAATGAGACACCATGATCAACCATGGGATTTTTGGATCTTTGGGGTATCGGTTTACCCATCATTTTTTTGGTGATTTTTTGGGATCCACAGATCTTCCAGATCCTCCAGATCCGTGCTGAGCTCCAGGACCACTGGAAAAGTCACAACCCTAGAGTTCTTTGACCCTGCAAACCTTGGCTCAACAGCTAAAACGTAGTTCGACACCAAGAAAAAAACATCGCCTCTGGTAATGAAAGGTGGCAACCGGAAAAATCCACTATAAATGGTGTTTCATGGGGAAAATCATCTATAAATGTGTGATGTTCCATTGCCACGTTTGATTACGAGAGAGTATCTGCAAGGTCGAGGCTTACCATTTTTGGCATCTCCAACTCATGCTGTTGGAATTCTCAACATTGATCTGTTTGGTGGTTGAGAAAGCTGTCAACTGGCAAGGTCTTCCGCTCTTGCGCGGAATGGAAAGAAAACGATGCTTGAAGCCACCAAAGAGTCACAAAAACCAGTGGTTCGAGGACCCGACCAACCATAGGCATTATCAAATCTGAAGCGCTTCAGATGAATGCAGAGAATCTCCGGGAGGTCCTCAGTTCGGCCATGAAAAGAGAGACTTGTGTAATGAAAAATCATTTTTTTTCCCATAAAAATGGAGACACTACCAACAACTGTGTGTCTACAACCAAGCATTGATGGATGATGAATGGGTGGACATCAACCAAAGATAGGTGTGGAATATCAATACAGAAATTCAATATTGCTGTAACATGTCTTGAACCATATCTGGTTTGTCACTTGAATGGTACACTCTTAAGGATATGTTCTCTTCACAATTTCCTCAAGATGATATTCACAATTTCGCCAAGGTGCAGAGACTTGAGAAACGTGTCTTGGCATGCCAAATTTGAATAAAAGTGTTATATTGGCTCAGCGGGCTTTCTGACAGTGGATGGTACAAGTACTAAGTACTTGTACCTGCGGACCTAACCCGTACCATTCCCTACAGCAGCAGTCCTTGAAGAGTATCCTCTTTTCACAGTCAATCTTCCTCTTGCAACGCTCGCAGTAGTACTGCTCCTGCTGTGACATGGAGATGGCTGGCATCCTCCCTAGCAACCCCCATCCACTGGTGCTGGATTCGGCTGCTAAACAACCATCATGAAGGAGCCAAAAATAGGACAGCATCCTGTGGTGGGACATACCCTGTCCATCCCATCCATATCGCCGGTCCTTTCCAGTAAGGTATTCTGGAGCACAATATCTTTTTAGGCAGTCAGTGAGACTGACACCTTTGTCCTTTGGGCAGTTGCCAGCTTTGCCACTGCTCAGCATCTGAAAACAGCTGATAAAAATGCCACCAGAAAAAAAAAAATAGCCTGCTTTCATCCAGTTAACATATTGAGAACATGGAAGCAAAAGGGCAGCCAAAGTCAGGGGATGCACAAAACCGTTCAACTTTGATCCTATCATTCAACCCTAAGCGAGAAAAAAAACACAAAACATAAATCATGGGATTGGTTTAAGGGATAAATCTTAAACCAAGAAACCATGGTTTTTACCATCAAATTGCTTGGGGTTTCCTGTAAAATGTCCCATCATCCAATTCTATGAATCATCCAATTCTATGAAAGCCCCATATTTAGTGGGAAAATCTATGGTTTCCGGTTAAGATTTTCCCTTAAACCAATCCATCCAATGAAAAGAAACAGCTGAGTGCCAAACATAGAACCAGCTCTTCACCTTACTCCCAAGTCCACCAAGAACTCCCGACCATGAAGAGCTTCGCACCCCCACGGACCTGGGCCAAGGTTTTTGGGCATTGACAGATACTTCGCTATTAGATATGTATAAATCTATATATATATATATATACATATGTATTGATGTATATACATATATGTATTGATACATATACATATATGTATTGATATACATATACATATATATATAATACAATACACCTTAAATGTTCAGTAGTATACATCATCAATATATTAACTATGATCTTACACAATAATAAGGAATGATAGTGATCTGAGGCTCGAGCCCTGACGGCAAGTGAGCCGGGGAGGTGGCCGGAAGTGACCTGACCGGTCGTGTGTTAAAAACCGCTTCGAAATTTGGCTGTGATAACTGCGACTGTTTTTTAGGGAAATCATATTACTAACATATAATGGAGAAATATATCATGGTATATAATGGTGATAATATTACTATCTATGGCTATGATATATATATATATATATATTATATCCAATAATATAATAATAACAACAACAAGAGTAATAATAATAATAAGACTCATCTATGGCTGTTATTTATGGTTAATCAATGTATAAATTGGCTGTAATCAGATTCTGATTCACTACAAAACCAACTATATGTTTTATTGTTTCAGTGAGTATCATGTGCAATTACATCCAACTACAAACTGTTTTATTTGGGCTTAGGTCGTACTTTGCTGATCCTAAAGATGCAGTAGCTCTATTATGTGGTTTGAATTAGAATTCATGGAACATAAGTTATCTAAGACTATCCGGGAATCAAAGGTGGCAATGGAAAAGCTCCTATAGATGGAGGTTTATACCCTCTGGTAAACTAACGTAACTATGGAAAATCACCATTTTTCATGGGAAAATCCACTATTTCTATGGCCATTTTCAATAGCTATGTTAAATTACCAGAGGGTAGCTGGGAAAATCAACAAATTCCGGATGTTCCAAGCCATGTTTGATCAACGCCTGAGGCTCCGGACACGGGTGAACTATCCGCACTCAGCGGACTGTTTGGCTCGTTGGCGGTGGGTATTGGTACCTCCAGAGTTCGCAAACTGACCTGGCGACCTGGCTGGGTATGGTTCCTACCACCCAGCTGGTAGAGCTTAGGGTTTCCAACTTTTGGAAGTCAGATGAGTCAGATGTTTCTGTTTCCTCCACTTAAATCGTTTCACTGAGCCGATGGCAGAGACATCATAGACGGCTTCAGACGTCCTGAATGGACCCCAGCAACAGGCGATGCCCCTCATGGTAGAAAATGAATAAATCACCTCCAGGCCCCCACCTGGCAGCTACCAAAGCAACAGGCACCGGTTTCACCAAGGATTCCACCAACTTTGGGGTACCTTTCAACCCTCCAGGGGCCAAGCCTTGATGTCTGGTTGCATTGAAGGCAGCGAACCTGGTGGATCTCCCCTGTGACGATCCAAGGCAACCATCACTGCATAACCAAACACCCGCAACCAGCAGCTTGGGCGTGGACGCAAGATACGACCTTCCCCTGAAAAAGTTCGGAGATGATCGACTCCTTGGACAGATTGGATGATGACCATGGACATCCATGGACCCTCAGCCAGATATCCAGTGGATTCCAGTGGAACAAAAAAAAATCTGGGATCTACATGGATCTACTATAGTTAACTATAGATCCGCCAAAAAAATGGGGCAAACAAACAAACCATCATCTTCCAACTTTTAGATACTTTTCGATTGTCACCTGGTGACAGGCGGCTCCAGCTTCGAGTTCCTAAGGATCCCTGCATAGTGCGTTCGGTGCGCCTTCTTGGAACTCTGAGAGCCTCCTGGGACCAGATTTGATGGGTGGTGGCGGTGGTGGTCGAAAAACTGATCCCTAAAATATGTTCGTGATGGGTGGTTAAAAATGTTGATGGGATAATATTCAGATCATTCGAAAAATGTTAGTGAGTAAAAAATTCGAATAATCTCACTAACATTCAAAATACAAACCTGCGAAAGCAACTTGTGGATACCCCAGTGATGCTGCACCTGAGGAGCTTTGTCCCACGTGTGGGCCTGGCCATTCTGGGCATGGCGAACAACAACGGATCACCGAACATTGCTTGGTGGCTTCAGGATCTAAGTCTCACCAGTCCCACCAGTCCCACCAGTCCCACCAGTCCCACCAGTCCTGTCCTCTGATTTGCTCAATTTCATTTTGGGCTCAATCATCTCAGATTTCGGGATGGAAACGAAAAAATCATTTCGGGGTTTCCCGCCCCTGGAAAACTCGTTTTTTCTTGACATCCCGCAACATACCCTCTGGTAATTGAACATAGCTATTGAACATGGCCATTTATAGTGGATTTACCCATGAAACATGGTGATTTTCCATAGTCTTTTCTATGTTTACCAGAGGGTAAGCCACAGAAATCCCCATCCCATTTCCACCAGTCCAGTTGCCATCTGCCTGAAGCATCACCATCGCTGGATGGCCTACCGGACTCGCTTCCAGACAACCTGATCTCGCCCACGTCAGTGTTGCCTTCTGGCCCATGGCAAAACCTGGGGATTCCGTGGGAAAAGGCGGTGATTTTGACCACAAGTTGGTGAAATGGTGATGAAATGGCAGTGAAATGGTGATGAAACGCTAATGAAATGGTGATGAGATGGTAATGAAAAGGCAAATGTCAAGTTGGTGAATTAGCCAAAGCTGAAAAAAAGAGGACAACACCACTCAAGAGACTAAGAACTCAATTTTGCGGCTGTCCCTGTCCAGAGTTAGCTTTTGAGGTGGATACCAACCATTGGAAAGCATTCAGCCAAAACAAACCATCTCACAGCTCTAAGCCCGGCAAATCTAAGGCTCCAGCTGCATGATTTGTTGTGTTGCCGAAGAGCTGCGCTGAAGAAGTTTACCTGTCAGGACAGCCAGCTATGGCACCAGGTGTTGGATGAGACCACCCAGCAACAAACGCGTCAGAGCTCCTGATATTTCTTCCACATCCGAAAAAAATGAGGGGTGCACATCTCCACTACCACCATTTCATTACCATTTCATCACCATTTCACTGCCATTTCTGATGTTCAAACCCCCCAATTTTGGGGAAAGATCCGGGGACCCACCGATTCTGCCCCTGAATCAATGCCTCCATGAGTGAGAAAGTCGGAAGGATGTCCTAAAACCAGAGTCGCAGCGCGCTGAGCGGAGTCAGGAAGCTCTTCGGAACCAACACAAACAATTTATATATATATATATATGCATAATATTGTAAATGGATATGTGAATATTCAAATGAAAAATGGATAGAGGTGGATGATATTATGATATTGGATTTTTTGATGCCAATTCTGGCAGCACTCTGCAGCTCCACTGATATCAGAAATGCGACCTACAGCCAGCTGAGATTCAACTGATCGAACTCAAACCATCTGAAAGCTTTGAGGGTGATTCACCATCATCTACAGTTGCTATATATGGAGGTTTCCTAAAATGGTGGTACCCCCAAATCATGCATTTTCATAGGATTTCCATTATAAACTATCCAGCTATTGGGGTCCATTGTAAGAAACCTCCATATATTTTCTTCATCGGCCCATCGAGACTCATCACTTTGACATTCAAATGCGGGCCAAGTTACTCGGCTTCGGCTCGCGCTCCGCTTTTCCTTCAGAGGAAACGCCTTAGCAACATGTCAATGGGTCGCGTGAATGGAATCTTTCGAGGAATTTGTCTTTACTAAGCAAGATTAATAGAGATATATATATATAATTAATATGTATATATATATAGCCCCAAAAAAGATAGAAACGTAAATCATCACTGTTTTTTTCATAGATTGTTACTTTTCTATCTTTTTGTGGATTACTATATATATAGTTGTTTATGGGGGCTCCACGATTGATATAAAGAAAACCGCTGGGGACACCACCATTGGGACCGCTGGCGCTGTGGTCCTCGTCCTCCTTCCTGGTCGACAACGTTAATCCTGGTTGATTTATGTTAATTTGGGGGTACCCAAATAGGGAGAATTATAATTTCTGGGATAAGAAATCATCCCAAACGGTATCACAAAATTATGATATACTAGAAGAGGTTCCGAATCTACAAGGGCATCCCCCCCATATAAAGACAGTTCCCATTTATCCAGGCTTGACGTGGGTGACTAA